TTCTATATGCTTCGGGTTAGCTTCTATTCCTCGCTTTGTGATCATGAAGCCGAGGAACTTTCCTGCTTCGGCTCCGAATACACACTTGAGTGGATTGAGCCTTAGGTTTTTCCGTCGGAGGGTCTCAAAGGTTTCCCTTAAGTCGGAGAGGTGGTCGCCGACTTTTTTGCTTTTGACTAGGACGTCGTCCACGTAGGCCTCAACGTTTCTTCCCATCTGGTCTTTGAAGACCGCGTCGACCATCCTCTGGTAGGTCGCTCCCGCATTTTTCAACCCGAACGGCATGACCACGTAACAAAAGTTACCCATGGGTGTCATGAATGCGGTTAGCTCTTGGTCGTCCTCCGCCATCTTGATTTGGTGGTAGCCTGAGAACATATCCAAGAAGCTGAGCGCCTCATGGTTGGCGGTTCCATCTATGAGTTGGTCGATGCGGGGCAGAGGATATGCGTCCTTGGGGCACGCCGCATTGAGGCTGGTGAAATCGATGCACATCCTCCAAGTGCCCCCGGCCTTTCGCACAAAGACGGGGTTCGAGAGCCATGTGGGATATTGGACTTCCCGTATGAAGCCGACTTTTAGGAGGCGCCTTATTTCCTCCTCGAGTGCCATTTGTTTTTCCACAGACAAGTGTCTCCTCCGCTGCTGTATTGGCTTTGCTTTAGGCTTGACGGAGAGTCGGTGCTCGGAGACTCGGCGGGGGATGCCTGGCATGTCTTCCGGACCCCATACGAAGAGGTCCTGAAATTCTCGGAGGAGGGTTAGCAATTTCTGAGCTTCCTCGTTGGCCCAGTGGGCCGAGATGCGCACGGTTTTGTTTGGCTCTTCTTCGTTGAGAGGGACCGCCACGTCGTCCTCAACCGCCTCCGGGCGGGGTACGTCGTCTCTTGCGTCGACCATGTCGACCTCCAAATGTTCGATCGTCGCCTGATAGCACTCCCTGGCATCCTTGGGATTTCCTCGGACGCGACCCGTGAGGCTCCCACTCGGGAACTTCAGCATTTGATGGCAGGTCGAGGCGACCGCCTCGAAAGTTGCGAGGAATCCGTGGCCTAAAATGGCATTGTAGGCGGAGGGACATTCCGCGACGTGGAATTCCACCGGGCGGGTCTTTGTGACCCCGCCCTCTCTTATAGTGACTTTGAGGGTAATTGAGCCGAGGACGCGGACTTTTGTTCCTGAGAAACCTACCAGGCTGGTGTTGGAGGGTTGGAGGTCTTGGACGGTCTTCTTCATTCCCTTGGGCGCCGAGTAGAATAGTATATCCGCCGAGCTTCTGTTGTCAACTAAGGCTCTTGTGATTTTGAATTTGGCGGTTCGGAAGGAGATGACCAAAGGGTCTTCTGAGCTCTCTTCGTTGGCTAACTCAGAGGGCAAGAAGGCAACCTCTGTCGGCGCTCGGCGTTGCACGTTAAGGCACTGGGCAATGCGGTCTCCTTCGGTTCTTGGGCGCTTTCGACCTCCCGCGATTGTTATGACTTCCATTCCGTCATCGTCGTTCCGGGGCGCTCTGTAGGGGGGAGACTGCCTCAGAGGGGAGGCGACCTTATTTCGAGAGCGGGATCTTGATCTCTCCTTTCTTATCCGTCTCGTTTTGTCTTGTTCAGGACTCGGCGATTCCTCCCGCTCTTCTGCTGAGTGCTCTCTGTGAGGCCGCCTCGTCTCCAGCTTGCTTCTTAGGTCTCCCGGGGCCAGGTGTCGGAGTGTGGCCTTGAACTCTCTACACTCGGTGGTGTCATGGGTTGTAATTTGGTGCCAGTCGCACCACTTCTTTCCTTCCTGCGGTTCTTGGGCGGAAGACGCCTCATATTTTCTTCCGCCTTTCTTTCGATCTCTGCCTCTTTCCCTGTCGGTGGAAAGCACGTCCCTTCTTCCCTCCCGATCAGTGTACCTGTTTCGGTACGACCTACGGTCTGGGGACCGCCTTCCCCTTCGGGGATCTCCATGCTCTGAGGCGTCTCCGCGGGGGCGGCCTTGCTGGCCTCGGTCGTCGTTGGCTAGCACCTCCTCCAATAAGATTGTTCGGCGTACCAATTGATCTAAATCGGACCAGGCCGTCAAGGTCGCCTCTTTTTTATCAGTGTTCTTTTCAGCTCGAGACTAGCCGTTGAGATTCGGATGTTCCTGGCGGCCACGAATGGGGAGATGCCATCTATCTCGCAAGCTATCACGTTCCATCGGTCGTAGAACTCGGCAAGCGACTCCTCCTTCTTTTGCCGGCAATTTATGAGTGCCGAGACGGTGAGTTTGCGACGTCGCTGAGACGCGAATTTGGTGGAGAAGAGCATCGCAAACTGCTCAAAGTTTTCTATAATCCCCTCCGGGAGGGAGGTGTACCATGTTCGGCATTGACCGCTGAAGGTGACCGGGAACGCACGACACAGATCCGAGTCTGTCGTGTTGATGAGTTGCATTTTTAGCATGAATGCGCAAAGGTGGTCAGCGGGGTCTGATGTCCCGCCGTAGGTAGGTAGTCCCAGAGAGGAGAAGTTGGGAGGGACCGGAGTCTTGAAGAGCTCCTTCGATAAAGGGTTTTGGAGGACGTTCGGGCTCTTGTGCTTCCCGAAGGTTGACCGCAAATGCTCTTCTAGAAAGTTGAGATCCGTGTCGTCGGCCTCTAGTCCTCCGCCTTCCGTCCGAGCGGGGCTGTCGAGGATGAGAGCGCCTTTCATCTTCTCGTCGCGTGCTTTCCCCTTCGATCCCTCGGCGGGGTCGTCTCGTGTCTTTAGGAGCTGAAGAATTTGGGAAAGGCTATCTTGCATGCTCGCGATTTGCATTCCTTGACTCTTGACTACTTCTTCCAGCTCGGCTTCATCTTCGAACCTCGGCGATAAGCCTCGGAGGGTGTTGTTTTCGGTCATCCCTTTGAGGGGGGTTTCGAAGTTGTCTCCCATCTCGTTCGCCACAAAGTCGTGGGCCCCACGGTGGGCGCCAAAATGTTTGTGCTTGGATTGTTCCAAGCGGTTTGTGAGACTCCACTGGCCTTGGGCGGCTTCGATGGTCGAGGGCGGTCTCTGAAACCCTGCAAAAAGGTCCTCGGGGGGCTCCCAGGACCTCCTCCGACGCTTAAGTTAGAGAGAGAAGTGGAAATATGAGTAAATAAGAGAGAGAATCGAGTTGGTAGAAGTTACCATCAATGTGGTTCGCAACTGAGTATTTATACTAGTGCTAGGCAGATCATGGGCATTTAATGACTTGTCGGGCGTCTTGGGATGCACTCGACAGCTCTGGTCACTCCGTACCTTTTTCAGACTCCGTACTGATCGGGCCAGAGCCAGGTTTTCGTTTACCATTATGTCGGGCGGTCTTGGGGCGCCCTCAACAGTACTGACTTATCTGTTCCTTTGTCAGACTCCGTACCGATAAGGTCAGGACCAAATATCCATATGTCATAATGTCGGGCGGTCCTCACTTGTGTGTAGGAAAAGACCGCCTAAGGCAGTTTTGGTGACTCGCTGCCCCTACTCAGGCCCGACTCGTTTCTTTACGGATTTTGGGTTACTGTGGGCTTGGAGCCCAAGTGTCTCACTATTTGGCCCGGCAATGGGTCTTAGGCTACTATGGGCCTGGAGCCCAAGCGCCTCAATATTTGGCCCAACACATTCCAAGCTCACATAAATCTACTTTCCAAAAATCTATCATCAACCAGCCTCTTCTTGAAGCAGGGGTCCCCGGTCCTTGCCTTTGGAAGAACAACGGCAAAGTCAGATGGACAAAACTAATAGTCCCTAGGCAGATGGCGTCACCATTTCTTTAATTAGAATTACAATCTTCGTGGCCTTCTTCCTCTTGCTCGGCGCCGAAGTGTAGCCTTCTTCGTTCGTCTTCCGTTTGCTTGGGAGGAAATCAGACACTGACAACAGAAAAAAAGCATCAGCGATAGTCGGGTTGAGCTGAGCAGCGCCGGAGATAAGAATCCGGCAACGACAACAGTGGTCAGAGGACGAAGGACCTTGGCTCGCCGACCGCTGGACAGCGGGCTAAAAGATTTTTTTGTTTAGGGTTTAGGTTAAAATTGGTACTAGGGGTAAGAATGTTAATTTGATATGTTTTCGGGCTAATAAAAAATTTAAATTTTAGGGGTCGTTTGCTTCATGGATTTAAAAATGAGGGTTTTGTAATTTAAAAACCCAAGGATTTATCAAGGATTTGAGGCATCATGGATTTGTAACAATCCTTTGTTTGTTGGGATGTTTTTATCATGGATTTAAAGGTGTGGGATTTACTACTTGAATTCAAAAATTACATTACTGCCCTTTTCTATACGTTTGACATGTTTATGATATGTACACAAAACAAGGACAAAACTTCAAAAATACCTTACTATCATTTTCTATATGTTTGACATGTTTATGATATGTACACAAAACAACGACAATACATACTAATAAGCATAATGTTGCCACATGGACAATAATAATAAACGAGAAAATTCCGTTTTAACTTTTAACGTAACATAATAAATTACCAATTCTTTGTCCTCCTTTTCAAAAGTGACATATAACAACATATATTAGAATTGGGAGAACAAAGAATTACACGTTCCATGAAAAGGTCAAAGAAAACTAGAACACAAGAAATGATATAAAAAATCTAACTCATGTTTGCACATTAATTGAACGTTTATATTATTCATTTATTGTTAATTATAATGTATAATAGTTAAATTTGAGGGCAACCTTGGAATATTAAAAGTGCATGAGGGTATATGGGTAAAATCTCATCAAGGATTTATGCCATATTCCAAATCCCACATCAACATGTGGGATTTATAAGTCCGTGGGGTCCACGGATTTGGACCATTAAAATCCGTGGGCCCCACGGATTTGGTCTCCAAAAAAGGTGCAAGCAAACAACGGATTGTAACTAGATCCTTGATAGTTGGTTTTTTGGTACCAAATCCATGTACCAAATCCTTGAAGCAAACGACCCCTTAGAGCGACGAATACCGATTCAGAAAAATTATTCAAGAAAAACGATCCTAAATCGGAGTGCAACAGTTTAACAGGGGAAGAAAAAGGAAAGATTCAAATTCAAACTTGCCATTCGGCTCCGGCGAGAGCTTTTTCCCTCCACATCCCACCAGATCTCTCTCAGTCTCTCAGACCCAAACCCTGCTCGGCGAAATGGCGGCGAGCGGCAGCAATCAGCTCTCCACGCCGTCCAAGACTCCTCACTCCAGAAAACACCATCTCCACCACCACAGCTCCTCCTCTTCGTCGTCTAGATTCGAAGCATACAACCGCTTGCAAGCAGCAGCGGTAGCATTCGGCGAGAAACTCCCCATCCCGGAGATCGTAGCCATCGGCGGCCAATCTGACGGCAAGAGCTCCCTTCTGGAAGCGCTCCTCGGTTTCCGCTTCAATGTCCGCGAGGTGGAGATGGGTACACGCAGACCACTTATTCTCCAGATGGTCCATGACCCTACCGCCCTAGAGCCCCGCTGCCGTTTTCAGGTCTCTTCTTGAACCTAGTGTCCCAGGTTTCAACTCGATATATATATGTCCACTGAGAATCCTTTTAGGGTTTTTCCATTTCAAATGGTGGTTGGGTATCAGTTTGTGACCTTAAACGAGTTGCAGAACCATCTTCGACTGACGCTATTGGCCGAGATGAACTATCCTTCATTACTATCTTTTATTGGACTTGCAGGAAGAGGATTCCGAGGAATATGGCAGTCCTGTTCTTTCTGGACCTGCAATTGCGGATGTTATAAAGTTGCGGACGGAGGCACTTTTGAAGATCACAAAAGCTGCGGTTTCTGCTAAGCCACTTGTGATGAGGGCTGAGTATGCGCATTGCCCCAATCTCACCATCATAGATACCCCTGGCTTTGTCCTTAAGGTAAGTGGGGAGACCTTTCCACATTGGTATCATCCTTATCACCATCATTGGTACCCTTAATTTGGTTTTAATGTATCTGTGTGTGGGGGTTTGTGGGCAGGCAAAGAAAGGAGAACCAGAGAACACACCAGATGAAATCCTTTCCATGGTCAAGTCATTGGCGAGCCCTCCACATCGGATCCTCCTGTTCCTTCAACAGAGTAGTGTTGAGTGGTGTTCATCATTGTGGTTGGATGCAATTCGCGAAATCGATCCCACTTTCAGAAGAACCGTGATTGTTGTTTCCAAATTCGACAATCGTCTCAAGGTACACCTCTCTCCCACTCGCACTTGCCAGCTCTCACTAATAACTGTTAAACCCTTCATTGCAGCACTCCCATGACTGTTTCCTTGTCTTCTGGTTGGTTTAATGAAGGAGTTCACTGATCGTTGGGAAGTAGATCGCTACTTGAGTGCAAGTGGGTACCTTGGAGAGAATTGTCGCCCATATTTTGTTGCCCTCCCGAAGGACAGAAGTACCGTCTCTAATGATGAGTTCCGCAGGCAAATATCTCATGTAGACTCTGAAATCCTGGGTCATTTGCGTGATGGTGTCAATGGAGGATTCGATGAAGAGAAGTTTGGGACACATATTGGCTTCAGTAGCCTGAGGGACTTTTTGGAGTCAGAACTTCAAAAGAGATACAAAGATGCAGCACCAGCTACTCTAGCTTTGCTTGAGCAGCGCTGCAGTGAAGTTGGCATAGAGCTGGCTAGGATGGACTCCAAAATTGAAGCTACATCTGATGTTGCTCATCTTCGCAGATCTGCTATGTTGTATGCAGCTTCTCTTAGTAATCATTTGGTGAGCAGCCAACCAGATCTGACTGCACATATCCACTAAGTACTTAAGTTGATTGACAATTTCCTTTAGATCCATTTCAATTATGTTATCTTCTCATTTCCGTGCAAACATCTACATTTCCTCTTTTAGTAGATGGTAGAATTATCCTTACCATGCTGGTAAGATAGATTAGTGTGTGGTGGTGTTGTTAAGCATGCAAATTAATTTCTCTGCTTACTTACATAAAACTTGTTCCTTTGTCTTATTTGTTTGTGTAGAGATCACTGATTGATGGAGCAGCAGATCCTGCCCCGGAGCAGTGGGGCAAGACAACGCAAGAAGAACAATCAGAGAGTGGTCTGGGTAGTTGGCCCGGTGTAGCAGTGAATATAAGACCTCCTAATGCCTCTCTAAAGCTTTATGGAGGAGCAGCTTTTGAGAGAGTGATGCATGAATTCAGGTGTGCCGCATATTCCATTGAATGCCCTCCAGTCTCTAGGGAAAAGGTATATTATTTACTGTCATTAAGTTGTTCTTCTTTTTCCTTCTACTTCCTGGTAAAGGAAGTTAGACAGATATGCTCAATGCCAAGAATAAGTGAAAGTACCCGTTTGATTTATGCTTTTCTGAAATAGGTAGCCAACATATTATTAGCTCATGCTGGCCGTGGTGGTAACAAAGGTGTAGTAGAAGCTTCAGCCGAAATAGCTCGTTCTGCTGCTCGCTCATGGCTCGCTCCCCTTCTTGACACAGCATGCGATCGTCTGGCTTTTGTTTTGGGGAATCTCTTTGATATTGCCCTGGAAAGAAACCATTTTCGTGAACTAGAGTGTAAGCAACCTGTTGCACATACTTAGTCTTAGTCATATGTTCAGCTTTCCTGGTGCACTTTTATTTTCTGTTTTGGAGCTTCACATTCATTTGAACAATAAAGGGTTGGTACTTGGTTCTCCCAATGTGCAGATGGGAAGAGAAATGGAAACATGGAAGGCTATGTCGGTTTTCATGCTGCACTGAGGCGAGCTTACAACCAATTCATAAGGAACCTTACTCAGCAGAGCAAGCAATTGATCAGACATCACCTTGATTCAGTTACAAGCCCATATTCAGAAGTCTGTTATGAGACTGACTTCCACGGAGGCTTTGGTTCAAGTTCCTTGAAATTCGGCCAAGCCTCTACTAGCGTTCCATTTTGCTTGGAACTATCAAACGGTGGGGGCTTGTGCCGCAACAATGAAGAGAAAAGGGACCAAGAGAACATCCCTCCAGAAAAGAGTAATGCACAAGAAACCACCCCAGGGAAAGGCGGCGGCGAAACAAGAGAAGGTCTGAAAGAAAGCCAAATGACTGTGCCTGAGACGCCCTCTCCTGATATGCCATGTGAGGTTGTGAAGAAGGAACATGGTAACTATGTCGAGCTTGGACCCAGAAAGCGGATTTCAAGATTGAACGGAAATGGCAGAAACCATGAGCTCGTGAGACTTCAAAATGGCGACAGCCGACTTCTGGTCTTCGGAAATAATGGGGATACGGGCACGAGGGCAGGCAGCTCGGCGTACTCGGACATTTGCTCCTACGCTGCCCAGCATTTTGCACGAATGCGTGAAGTTCTGCTTGAAAGGAGCGTGACATCGACTTTGAACTCCGGCTTTTTGACTCCCTGGTGCGGTTTGTTTCATTGATTCATTCACTCATATGTAGTCTTGTCTGTAATCTGTATATATTGTTGCTTGCTGTGCTGATTGCAGCCGAGACGAGCTGGTAGTGACGCTTGGACTGGAGTTGTTTGCTGCAACAGACGACAAGTTCATGGAGATGTTCGTGGCGCCTGGTGCCATTGACGTGCTGACGAACGAACGGCAGTCGCTTCAGAAGAGACAGAAGACACTCCAATCTTGTTTGACTGAGTTCAAGACCATATCCCAGACACTGTGATTGGGAACTTGAGCAAAAAAGGGCACACTTGGCTGGAAGGTGTTGTGGCTGGCGGTCAGATTCTGGTCAGTTGTTGCTGCCGTGGTTATCTCATCCACACAAGAGGCAGAGTCACCGTTCTCCTTGCTGTCTGTAATCACTCTCTCTGTATGTCAAACCTTAAAAAACCCAAGACTGATTGTATTACTTTCATTGGGAAAAAGGTGGCCGAGCTCGTGCTTTTGCCCTGTTCAAGGTTGTCAACTCGGTTTAGCACGTTGGTCCGGTTGAATAAGTGGGTTAAGGGTTAATGATTGGATCGTTTTAACTCGTTTTTAACCCGGTTTAGCTCGGATATTAGTAAATATGTGTAAATATTGGATTAGGGCGGATTAAAAATCCTTAAGAGTTCGGGTTTTACCCTATTCGATTAGGGCGGTTTCGAATGGATAACTACAGTTGCAGCGGGTCAGATCTGGTCCTTAAGGCCCCTTCTTTAAGGAGGATCTTAAATCTTATTCAGTCAATAGGAGAAGGAGAGAGAAAATCATTAGTAATCATTGGTTAACTACCTACAAGGGTAAGACGGGAATATATAATAACATTAATGCTATTATTAATAAAAAAGAAAAACAGTAGAAATCATAATTATCATTTAAAAAAAACTCCTCCCAACCCTACAAGCGTTTCCATCGTCGCCCTCATCTCCAAACTTTCGTCGTCTTCTCGTCGAAGACTACAGTAGCTTGCTGAGTTGCCGGGAATATATAACAACAATTAATGCTACAAGGGTAAGACTACAAGGGTAAGACGAGAATATATAATAACAATTAATGCTATTATTAATAAAAAAGAAAAACAATAGAAATCATAATTATTGTAACACCCTAGACCGGCCGGCCACTACTTTTACCAAAATACCCTTAATTTTAGTCGAATAGTAAATGCATAAAATCACATTAACATCATTTCAAAATACAAGGAGAAAATCCATCTTAAAACAGTATTCAAACATAATCCTCATTAAGTCTCAAGTCCACCAACAATGCATAAACTTAAATAAGTTCCGCTGGAAGCTCCCCCGGTCACTAACCCTTGTGATGACATTTTGGGCAGCAGCTATGTCCTTGCGTTTGATCTGGATACTCTTGATTCCCTGCAGCTCCTGAGTGCGGGCGTTGGGGTCAGTCCTAATCCTAGTTTCGCTTTAATGGCGGAAAACTTGTAATAACATACTTGATAAATAATAAATATGCTCGTGCAGTGCATAATACATTATTCATATTGTTTCATATAAAAGGGGGCCCCGAACTCGACTCAACTAGCACACCGAACGACACCGATCGTAACATACATATATGTGAACTTCCACCTAATGGGAAGACACATCTTAAACATAGACTTCCAACTAGTGGGAAGTAAGGTAACCGCGTGCTATCTAAGCAACTGACCGGCACCGACATAACTTATCATAATCATAAACTTCCACCTAGCGGGAAGTAAGGTAGCCGCGTGTTGCTAGTCAAGCGAGTAGTTAAAAACGTATTCTTACTTAATAACTTGGTAACTTGGAAAGCAAGTCCATAAACTTGCTTGAAACATAATCTTGTATTTTTCTTATTTAAAAATGTAATTTCATGATGGAATGCAATGCCATGCTTACTCAACATAAGTAAACTTACCTTGAGCATACATATAGAGCATAATTTAATTAAATGGCATAATTAGATATATTAAAGCGAAATACTAACTAGCCCCCTCAAACCACGCACCTTATTAATTCAAGAAGTTACAACGTGAAGGTTGGGGCCCTTGACTTGGTTGATTCCTCTTGGCCCTATGGTGAAATTCAAAGTTAGATTGGTTGAGTTTTGGGTTCTTAGCGACGGCTTTCTAGACTTGGGAATACTTTGCAAGATGTGCAAAGTATGGTATACTAATGTACCAATTAATCTAACATATTAGAATAATAATTCTTTACATATAATATTTAAGGTCTTAATCAATCTTAATCATTGAAAACTAATTGTTCTATAATAAACCTACGTGGGTTAACTCCAGATTATACTAATCAATTTATCAAACTAGATAACACCTTATTTACCTATTAGCTAGTCCTATTAATTCATTCATCACGTGCTAACAACATTACTCATATCATTTGGGTAACGGGAACTGAGGAATTATTACTAATTATCTTGATTTCTACTTCAATAATCTCTAGTTAGTTTAACTTACAATATTATGAGATTTTAATGAATAAAACGACCATTTGACAAAATTTGAGGATCTGTTCTGCAAACAAACATAACTATGTGGATTTACTTGCAATGAATAAAAAATACTATGCAGTATCTTTAGCATCCGTCAGATAGTCAGTTACTAAAGCTCTACGAGTTCGTTGCTAAAAACCTGTAAAACCGTCGCTAAATTCCCAGATTTGGACAAGCTCATATTACTCGCATAAACATGAAATTTTAATGCGAGGAGTTGGGTTTTCTTACCTCGTATGCGTGCCTGGATCTAGATTTGAGTCGCTAGAGTCGTTGTTTCCTTGATTCAATCGTCGTTCTATCACCCGGAGATTTCCGTCCTCGTCGTCGCCATCAAGACTACGGTTCACAACCGTCGAGTTGGTTAGCTATTGATGGATTTGATTTTAGAACTGAGATGGTTTCTTGATCCTTACCTAGTGGATGTGAGACGATGAACTAGGGTCGTGGGGAGCGGCGACATCGTACGAGGAAAGGATGGGCAACTTTTAACGTGGTTTTCGGCGTGCGTGTTGGCGACTTGAGTGGTGTCGTTGGTTGTAGTTTCCAGGTGTTCGTCTACTTGGATCAAGAGCAAGGAGTGGTATAATAGTTGTGGTGAATGGAGGGTCGGATCGGTGGTGGTTCGTGTGATGCGATGATGGACAAGGTTGATGGTGAGGGATGTACGAGATGAGAATTTGAGGGAGCAGTAGTGATATGAAGTATACTGGGGGGTGGGGGGGGGTTCTTTTGCTTGGCCGGAGGAAGTAGAGTGAGTGATTTATGGATGGGAGACTAAGTGACTTATGGAAGCAAGAGGGGGTTGATTTCAGTGGAAGGAGGGAGCACCGACACTGCAACTCCATTCCTTGTATTAATTTGCCTGCTCATTCTGGGGTTGCATGAGTATGGGTGTTACATTTCCTCCCCTCTTAAAAGAATTTCGTCCCCGAAATTGGGATCAACGATATAAAGATCGACTCTTAATTTTTATTACTTTTGAATTCTCATTGTCACTAACGAATCATTCTCGAATTACACCAACTACAAGGGTATGTCAAGGAACAACTGAGGGTAGTTCTTCCTCATGTCTTCCTCTATCTCCCAAGTTGCTGCCTCTGTGCCTTGGTTTCTCCACACTACCTTCACCATAGGGACTTTCTTCCTTCGTAGTTCTTTATCCTGGCGGTCAATGATCCGACCGGTATTCATTGTAGGTCATATCACTGTCTAATTGGATATCTTCTAACTCCACGATGTGGGTTGGGTCGGACCGGTACCCCTTGAGCATGTTAACATGGAATACATTGTGGATCTTGGACAAATTTGGAGGTAATGCGAGCCTATACGCCAGAGGGCCTACTCGCTCCAATACTTCATATGGTCCAATGTACCTTGGACTCAACTTGCCCTTCTTTCCAAATCTCATAACCCCTTTCCATGGAGAAACCTTCAAGAATACCTTATCGCCTACTTCATGAGTCCTCTCCTCTCCTGGCTTGTCTGCATAGCTCTTTTGACGATCCTGAGCAGCTTTAATGTTTTCTCGTATTTTCTAAACTTTGTCGACTGTGTCTTGTACTAGTTGTGGGCCCTCAATCTGCCTTAATCCTTCCTCATCCCAATATAGGGGAGATCTGCATTTTCTCCCGTATAAGGCCTCATATGGTGACGCCTTTAGGGAGCTGTGGTATTGATTATTATAAGCAAACTCCATTAGAGGGAGATACTTGTCCCACGATCCCCTCATCTGCAGTGTACAAGCCCTCAATAAATCCTCCAACGTTTGTATAGTCCTCTCTGTCTGTCCGTCAGTCTGAGGATGGTAGGCAGTTGAGAATTGGAGCTTGGTTCCCAAAGCCTTGTGAAGGCTCTTCCAGAATTGGCCAGTGAAACTAGGATCCCGATCTGATACTATGGTTAGAGGAACTCCATGTAGTCGTACCACCTCTTGTACATACAAGTCTGCCAATGCATCCACCCCTGGCTTGAATTTGATGGGGATGAAGTGTGCTGACTTAGTGAGACGATCTACAATCACCCAAACTCCATCGTTACCCCACTCCGTCCTCGGTAGTCCATATACAAAATCCATGGTGATGTGTTCCCACTTCCACTCTGGTATCTCAAGTGGCTTTAGCTTCCCTGCTGGAGCTTGGTGCTCGGCTTTCACCATTTGACAGACCAAACACTTGTGCACAAACTCAGCTGCCTCCCTCTTCATATTGGGCCACCAGAAGTGTTCTTGCAAAGTCCGGTACATCTTGGTCGATCCTGGGTGCATGGAATAAGGTGCACAATGAGCTTCATCCAGGATTTCTTGTCTCAAATTCTCCACATTAGGTACACAAGCTCTACCCTGGAAGAGTAACATTCCATCTGTGATTTCAAACTTAGTATCTTTGCCATCTTGTACCTCTTGAATAAACTTGGCCAAAACTGGATCATCCTTCTGCTTTTCCTTAATTCGATCATGCAATAGTGGTCTAATCTTCAAATTAGCCATCATGCTAGTAGCGTCCTCCAGTTGTAGTTCCACATTCATAGCCCTGAGTGCCACAAGTTCAGATATTGGGCTGTGCTCCTTCCTGCTTAGTGCATCAGCCACCACATTAGCTTTACCAGGGTGGTACTCAATGGTACAATCATAATCACCCAACAACTCCACCCATCTTCTTTGTCTCATAATCAACTCCTTTTGATCCGTGAGATGTTTCAAACTCTTGTGATCCGTGAAGATCTTGAAAGTCTCACCATAAAGATAGTGTCTCCATAGTTTTAGAGCAAACACGACTGCAGCTAACTCGAGATCATGGGTTGGGTAGTTCACTTCGTGTGGTCGTAACTGCCTTGAAGCATAAGCAATCACCTTCTTATTTTGCATAAGAACACAACCCAACCCCTTATATGATGCATCACTATAGATGGCATACTCTCCCTCGCTTGATGGTAGTGTGAGTACTGGTGCAGTAGTAAGCTTCCTCTTAAGCTCCTCAAATGCTTCCTGGCATTCCTTACTCCAAAAATAATTCATTCCCTTGCGCAGCAGTTGGGTCAAAGGTCTAGCAATGCGAGAGAAACCCTCTACAAACCTTCTATAGTACCCAGCCATGCCAAGAAAACTTCTCAATTCTGGAACATTTTTAGGAGGTGCCCAATTGACTACTGCCTCAATTTTCTTTGGGTCTACTTCAACTCCTCTTCCAGAAACCACGTGTCCCAGAAATAACACCTCTTTTAGCCAGAATCACACTTAGAGAACTTTGCATAGAGTTTCTTTTCCCGTAGTATCTCTAATGTGATCTTCAAGTGTTCTGTGTGCTCCTCATAGCTCTTCGAGTAGATGAGAATGTCATCAATGAATACAATGACAAACTTGTCCAAATACTCATGGAATATGTTATTCATTAGCGCCATAAATGCTGCTGGTGCATTTGTCAACCCAAAAGGCATTACTAAAAACTCGTAGTGACCATATCGAGTGCGGAATGCGGTCTTTGGAATAGAGGATTCAGCCACCGGCAATTGGTGATAACCTGACCTTAGGTCAATTTTAGAGAACACAGAGGCACCCTGAAGTTGATCAAATAAGTCATCTATCCTGGGTAGTGGATATCGGTTCTTCACCGTTGCCTTATTCAACCTTCTGTAGTCAATACACATCCGCATACTTCCATCCTTCTTCTTCACGAATAATACTGGGGCTCCCCACGGAGAGATACTGGGCCGAATGAAACCTTTGTCTAGTAGCTCTTGCAATTGTTCCTTCAGTTCCTTGAGTTCTACTGGTGCCATCCGGTATGGTGGTATCGAAATTGGTGCAGTACCCGGAATAACTTCTATGTCGAACTCAATCTCCCTTCTTGGGGGTAACCCGGGGAGGTCTTCTGGAAAAACATCTGGAAAATCTTTCACGATGTCCACCTCTTCGAGCTTCCCTTCTGGTGTCGTAGTAACATGGGCAAGATAAGCTTCACATCCATCTTGGATAAGTGTGAATGCTGTGGTAGCAGATATCAAACTCCCTGGAATGGCCCTTCGTACTCCTTTGAACACAGCCATTCCTCTTCCTTCTATGGAAAACCGAACTTCCTTGTTAAAACAATCCACCAACGCTCTGTGCTTGGATAGCCAATCCATTCCCAAGATGGTGTCGAATTCGTCAAAAGGAAGCAACATAAGATTTGCCTCGAGTTCATACCCAGTGATCCTCACTATGCATTCTCTGACTATGGAGTTAACTATCAATGTATCACCTACAGGTGTACGTACCCCCAAATTCTGGCTGAGGTTCACAGGTACCATGCCTAAGACTCTAGCAAATGCAGTAGATATGAAAGAATGCGTAGAACCAGGATCTATCAAAGCAAAGGCAGGGCGATCATGTATATAAACCGTACCAGTCACGACCTCTGGGGCTGCATCGGCCTCTTCTCTCCTCATGGCGAAGATTCTGGGTTGTCCACCAGCCCTGGACATCTGACTCTGGTCACGATTGTTGTTGTAGCTGTTATGGTTGCTAGAGTTACCAGTTCTGCCACCGGGCCTCCAACCTGACTGTGGTCTGCCTCCAGAGACTGAGTGATCAGCCACCGTTCTAGTACGGCTCATGAGTTGCGGGCAATGTGGTTTTATGTGCCCCGGCTCACCACACTGGAAACATATGCCCATATGGCGCTTGCACTCGCCTAGATGACGCTTGTCACACTTCTGGCAGATCGGGTACAACTGATGCATTGGTGCGGTCCTGGTGGAACCCACCTCGCTCTGTGACTGGTGTTGAGTGAAGGAACCAGATCCCCTCTTCAAATGGTAGGTTGAGTGGGTTTGGCCCCCTGTGTTAGTGGGCGCCTTCCTCTTCTTAGTCTCAAACCTGGCAGTCCTCTCCTGTTGGGCAGTCTTCTCGTCCTTTTCTATACGGAGGGCAGCCCGGTACGCGGATGCTTTTGTCGCCCTCTCAGCTTCTCCCATGCTCCTCTTCAGATCTGCTCTCAACCCCATAACATATCGGTCACGTTGTCCCTCCGCCGTCCTGTATGCGGGATCAGCATATCTTAGCAGTTTCTTGAAGCACTCTGTATACTCCGCAACAGATTGTCCCCACTGCTGTCGTAGGGACATAAATTCTTCCATCTTCCCCTCTCGAACAGTGTCTGGAATGTACTCATCACGAAACAGTTTCAGAAACTGGTCCCAGGTAATGGTTAGAGGCACCTCTTCACTTTCCGGTTGGGTGTGCCACCAGTCCCTTGCGGTACCCTGCAGTACGTGCACTGCCATGGCAATCCGATCCTCATGGTTATCGATACGCAGCTCATCAAGGGTGCGAGTGAGCTTCACCAGCCATGCGTCCACCACTTCAGGATTGGAGGATCCTTCGAAGTCAACCACACCCATCTTCCTTAGTGCAGCATAATTAGGAACGGGACGCTGAGCAGGTGGCATGGCCTGGGGATTACCAACACTTTGGCTTCTGCAGTGGAATAAGACCTTGTATTAGAACTTCCGAAGCGTTTCAACTTATTAGTGGACGAGACTTAATGCTTTAAAGAAATCGATTTGATTTTTCTTTAAAATCTTTGCAAATTGTTAAAACCTTTAAAACTCGTTTGAAAACATGTAGACCGACTTCCCAGTATCTCATTTAACAGTTAGACAGAGGGAAACCGGCTCTGATACCAAAATGTAACACACTAGACCGGCCGGCCACTACTTTTACCAAAATACCCTTAATTTTAGTCGAATAGTAAATGCATAAAATCACATTAACATCATTCCAAAATACAAGGAGAAAATCCATCTTAAAACAGTATTCAAACATAATCCTCATTAAGTCTCAAGTCCACCAACAATGCATAAACTTAAATAAGTTCCGCTGGAAGCTCCCCCGGTCACTAATCCTTGTGATGACATTTTGGGCAGCAGCTATGTCCTTGCGTTTGATCTGGATACTCTTGATTCCCTGCAGCTCCTGAGTGCGGGTGTTGGGGTCAGTCCTAATCCTAGTTTCGCTTTAATGGCGGAAAACTTGTAATAACATACTTGATAAATAATAAATATGCTCGTGCAGTGCATAATACATTATTCATATTGTTTCATATAAAAGGGGGCCCCGAACTCGACTCAACTAGCACACCGAACGGCACCGATCGTAACATACATATATGTGAACTTCCACCTAATGGGAAGACACATCTTAAACATAGACTTCCAACTAGTGGGAAGTAAGGTAACCGCGTGCTATCTAAGCAACTGACCGGCACCGGCATAACTTATCATAATCATAAACTTCCACCTAGCGGGAAGTAAGGTAGCCGCGTGTTGCTAGTCAAGCGAGTAGTTAAAAACGTATTCTTACTTAATAACTTGGTAACTTGGAAAGCAAGTCCATAAACTTGCTTGAAACATAATCTTGTATTTTTCTTATTTAAAAATGTAATTTCATGATGGAATGCAATGCCATGCTTACTCAACATAAGTAAACTTACCTTGAGCATACATATAGAGCATAATTTAATTAAATGGCATAATTAGATATATTAAAGCGAAATACTAACTAGCCCCCTCAAACCACGCACCTTATTAATTCAAGAAGTTACAACGTGAAGGTTGGGGCCCTTGACTTGGTTGATTCCTCTTGGCCCTATGGTGAAATTCAAAGTTAGATTGGTTGAGTTTTGGGTTCTTAGCGACGGCTTTCTCGACTTGGGAATACTTTGCAAGATGTGCAAAGTAAGGTATACTAATGTACCAATTAATCTAACATATTAGAATAATAATTCTTTACATATAATATTTAAGGTCTTAATCAATCTTAATCATTGAAAACTTGTTCTATAATAAACCTACGTGGGTTAACTCCAGATTATACTAATCAATTTATCAAACTAGATAACACCTTATTTACCTATTAGCTAGTCCTATTAATTCATTCATCACGTGCTAACAACATTACTCATATCATTTGGGTAACGAGAACTGAGGAATTATTACTAATTATCTTGATTTCTACTTCAATAATCTCTAGTTAGTTTAACTTACAATATTATGAGATTTTAATGAATAAAACGACCATTTGACAAAATTTGAGGATCTGTTCTGCAAACAAACATAACTATGTGGATTTACTTGCAATGAATAAAAAATACTATGCAGTATCTTTAGCAACCGTCAGATAGTCAGTTACTAAAGCTCTACGAGTTTGTTGCTAAAAACCTGTAAAACCGTCGCTAAATTCCCAGATTTGGACAAGCTCATATTACTCGCATAAACATGAAATTTTAATGCGAGGAGTTGGGTTTTCTTACCTCGTATGCGTGCCTGGATCTAGATTTGAGTCGCTAGAGTCGTTGTTTCCTTGATTCAATCGTCGTTCTATCACCCGGAGATTTCTGTCCTCGTCGTCGCCATCAAGACTACGGTTCACAACCGTCGAGTCGGTTAGCTATTGATGGATTTGATTTTAGAACTGAGATGGTTTCTTGATCCTTACCTAGTGGATGTGAGACGATGAACTAGGGTCGTGGGGAGCGGCGACGTCGTACGAGGAAAGGATCGGGCAACTTTTAACGTGGTTTTCGGCGTGCGTGTTGGCGACTTGAGTGGTGTCGTTGGTTGTAGTTTCCAGGTGTTCGTCTACTTGGATCAAGAGCAAGGAGTGGTATAATAGTTGTGGTGACTGGAGGGTCGGATCGGTGGTGGTTTGTGTGATTCGATGATGGACAAGGTTGATGGTGAGGGATGTACGAGATGAGAATTTGAGGGAGCAGTAGTGATATGAAGTATACTGGGGGGGGGGGGGGGGTTCTTTTGCTTGGCCGGAGGAAGTAGAGTGAGTGATTTATGGATGGTAGACTAAGTGACTTATGGAAGCAAGAGGAGGTTGATTTCAGTGGAAGGAGGGAGCACCGACACTGCAACTCCATTCCTTGTATTAATTTGCCAGCTCATTTTGGGGTTGCATGAGTATGGGTGTTACATTTATCATTTTAAAAAAACTCTCCTCCCAAGTCCCAACCCTACAACCGTTTCCATCGTCGCCCTCATTTCCAAACTTTCGTCGTCTTCTCGTCGAAGACTACAATAGCTTGCTGAGTTGCCGTCGTCATCCCACCTTCTCGCCACCTTTCCGTTGTAAGTAACCTCGCTGCCACTCGCCATATTCCCTTCGTCTCCAAACTCGTCGCCGTCCCGCCATATAATCCCGCTTCGTCAGCGTCGCGACGACAAAGCAGACTGCGTGGCCGTCTTTCTGTAGCCATCCCGACGTATTTGATCTGCCGCCGCCATGACAACTATTAATAATAGTACAGTAAACTTTAACAATTGGCAGAGTTATATTAGTACACGTTACTTCAAACACTAGGTTACTGGGCGTACACGTCGAAAACTAATGTTAATGGCCTTCAAAATATTAACAATGGGCAACATATTGTTGATAAGGACCACGTACTGATTAATAGTTAATAAGAATCAAGGGAACCATGGTTTAAAAATATTGATAATGGCGACAGGGTGAAAAATACTAAAAGAAAAAGAATTGTTAATAATTGAAAAAGAATTGTTACTAGTGGAAAAATATTAATAATAAGACAACTATATGCTATGGAAATGCATATTATTAATAATAAAGGAAAAAAATAATTGTTAATAATGCACGCACCACAATGATAGTATCCGTTAATTCAACCATAATGGTAGTAAGAGCCCGCTTCAAAAACTATTGCTAACAGTCTTGAAAATATTAATAATGGGCAACGAAATGTTGATAATAACCACATACTCATTAATAGTTAATCTTAATGATACTAGTGAGAATCAAGGGAGTCACGGTTTAAAAAAATTTATAATTGAGCCACGCTGTCACGGTTTTTTTTTGGAAGCAACGCTGCCACGGTTAATAATACTAATAGAAAAAGAATCGTTAATAATTTTAAAGGAATAGTTACTAGTGGAATATAATTTATATAAGACAACTATATGCCATGGAGAATTGGAGATACATATTATTATTAATAAAGGAAACATAATCATAGTGGCCGATCAATAATACACGTTAATTCAACCATAATGTTAGCAAGAGTCACTTAAAAAATATTGATAGTGGCCAATCAAATTAATAATAATGGCCATCGAAACGTTGATAATGACTACAAATTGATTAATAGTACTAGTTAACGATACCAATTGATAAATAATAACGATTGGCAGAGAGCCGTGTCGAGAGCCGAAATGACGGGGAGGGAGAAGCTTTCTTGACGGAACGTACACAACAAACAAACGGTTCGACTAGAGGAAGACGCGAGTTTATAGATTATTATGGTTAATTTTTTTAGATTTTATATTACTTACAATTTCCTAAATACCCTTAATAATTAATTAACTAATAACTCCTCACTAACTAACTAAAATTGAATCAGCCAATCGCAACGCTTTAAGATCCTCCTTAAAAAAGAGGGTTTAAGGACCTGAAATCAGGCCCAGTTGCAGATATTTTTGCCATACCTATTTTGTGAGCAGAAAAAGTCAGGTTAATTATTATAACATCTTAGAAGAATCAATCATCTATAAAATACGCGAGAGATTCATTAGTGATAAAGAACTGTTCAATCTCAACTCCGAATGAGTGTTATGAGTGATATTAGATTCTGTAATTGAGGGAACCAAACAAGTACATTTTTTTATAGTAACCTGCCCACGAAGCTATTATTGAGTAGGTAAGGAAGTTACATCATCAAACCGAAGTTGGTCCATCACAATCAACGACAGTCTATCATGCACTGCTGCTTCTCGTACTCATCAAGGAATAAGATGGACCTGGGCACGATTTCACCTTCATTAATTTTTAATCCATTGAAAAGATGGGCATTTCTTTCCTTCCATAAAAACCACATCAACATGGTCCATTCCTCCATCTCTCATTGGGGGCCTCTCACAGGACTTTCTTAATCCATTCCATGCTGTCCAAACTTCCCCAAGCTTCAAACCACTTTGCCATAGTGGAATTCCGCCATACTCAACCAGACCAGCCACACTCCGTAAACAGGTGGCCTTGGGTCTCTCGAATGTCGCAGATTTGACAAGCATCACCTCGCCGCTTGCTATGGGTACTCACGTGATCTCCTGTTGCCAGCACGTCTCGAGCTAGCCGCCATAGGAAATGACGTACTTTAGGAGGGAGGTTTAGCGACCAAATCCCTTTACATAGCTCCGCCGTCCCAATCGACTCAATACCATGCTCTCTTTTGAACCATTCCACCCAGAGTATGTACCCGTCACAAACGGTATAGCAGCATAAGGCATTTGTCGCCCAAATCTGTCTGTCCTGCTCAAGGCAGCTTCGTAATGGAATTGTTCTTATGGCGGCTGCAACCTCAGTCGGAAAAAAACTCTCTAGTATAGTCTCATCCCACCTTTCAACCTCCGGATCAATCAGGTCCCGTACT